GGCTAAGATCAAGTGTAGTATCTGTTCTTATCAGTTCGCACTTGATTCTCGGTCTTAGGCTAGGACTGCGATCGTCTCCTTTGGGTGTCCGGGCGGTGAAACCTTGGGTATTTTCTGCAGCTGGAAGGTAGGTGGCGCTTATAGAATTTATTTTTTGTACATTGAAAACTTTCCAGTGTTTTGTTTGTTGTTGTTTGATTGTATCAGGCGTTGCCTGATTTTGGGTGCCTCCGCCATGGCGGCTTATGCCAGCATGCGGAGGCACCACAGTGTGCGTTTCAACTTGACTGAAAATGTTGGAGAATTACCAAAGATGTCCAGGTTGGATTTTTCTAGGAAGCTGATCCAACAGGTGCTGGGCTTCTCGCCAAATGACCTAAACTGCATCCTGACTCTGCCTTTCAACAGAGGTTTTGACGTAAGTTTTTGCTCAAGTGCTCTGCTAGAGGAGTTTTGGATGAGGTATGAGAATGTGAGACCACAATTTGAAATTTTCAATGTGGAGAAATTGACGGACAATACCTTGAAGACGGTAATTGTCAGAATGTTTAATGAAACCGTAAATGCCCAAGATATTTGTGTATGGTTGGGGAGGTACTGTACAGTGAAGGGTAAGGCAAGGAAGGTAAGGGATATGGATGGGATATGGAACTGTGCATGGAAGGTACCCATACAGCAATGGGAAGACCCGCAAGGGTTCCGGGGTCTAAAACACCTGCCGTCTATGATAGTTTTGGGGGATAATAGAGGCTACATCCACTACCAGGGCCAGCCAAAGCTCTGTCGAAGGTGTGGGGAGCACGGGCATTTGGTGGAGGCGTGTGAGGAAATAATTTGTGGGAAATGTAGAGAAAAGGGGCATACATATGCCGAATGCAAAAATGACCGAAAATGTAATTTATGTGGGGGGGAAGGTCATCTCTTTAGGGACTGCCCGAGGTCTTTTGCAAATAAACTTAAAAGGGACAATCTGATAAATGAGCAACACCTGATGGAAATAGGAAATGAGGTCGTCTTGATTGGTGCAGCTGGGGCAGATGATTCGAATCT